ATGTCAAATGGGAAGAATAGGTATTTCCTCAGTTTTATTGATGATTATAGCCGAAACACGTGGGTATACTTTCTAAAGAGGAAGTCTGAGGTGTTTGATGTTTTCAAGGAGTTCAAGACACTAGTTGAGAAGCAAAGTGGTTACTACATCAAGGTGTTGAGATCCGATCAAGGTGGTGAGTATACATCCGATGCTTTTAAAAATTATTGCAAAGAGTATGGAATTATGTATCAAGTACCACCATCATATATGCCACAATTGAATAGAGTCACTAAAAGGAAGAATATGACAATATTGGATGTGGCTAGAAGCATGTTGAAAGGAAAATGTGTGCCCAGAGATTTTTGAGCTGAAGCCGTTGCATATGCTATTTACTTGCTGAATAGATGTTCAACAAAAAGTGTCAACTTGAAGACACCGGAAGAGGCTTGGAGTTCATTCAAGCCAAGTGTTGCTCATCTAAGAGTATTTGGGTGCATTGCATATGCTTAAATTCCAAAAGGTAGAAGAACAAAACTTGATGACAAAGATGAAAAATGTATTTTTTTTGGGTATGGTGATTAAACAATGGGGTACAAGTTGTACAACCCCATCACTAAGAAAGTGATCATGAGAAGAGATGTCATCTTTGAAAAACAGGAAATGTGAGATTGGAAGCAAAAAGAAGCCCTCAATGATATTGAATTTATTCTTGAAGAAGAAAAGGTTGAAAATTCAAATGAAGTTGAAAGAGAGCCATAAACTCCTTCACACAGGTCCCCCTCATCTTATAGAGGTGATTTCTTATCACCATCATCGGAGGCTAGTTCAAGTGAAAGGCCAAGGAAGACAAGAAACTTGCGAGAGACTTATGAAGTTGCTGAAATTGATGAAGACAATCTAAATTTGTTTTGTTTTTTCATGGATTGTGATCTACTTAGCTATGAAAAAGCCATCCAAGAAGAGAAATGGAAGAAAGCTATGAATGATGCAATGAAGGCAATTGAGAAAAATAACACATGTGTGCTCACTAACTTACCACAAGGCCACAAAGCAATTGGTGTGAGATGGTCCTACAAAACAAAGACGAATGCAAGTGGTGAAGTACAAAGATGCAAGGCAAGATTGGTTGCCAAAGACTACAAGCAAAGACCTGGAATTGATTATGGTGAAATATTTGCTCCCGTAGCTCATTTAGAGACTATTCAATTGATGATTTCTCTTGTCGTCCATCATAATTGGAGTATTTATCAACTTGATGTGAAATCAACATTTTTAAATGACTTTCTTGAAGAAGAAATTTATGTCAAACAACCCTTGGGGCATGTCAAAGTTGGGCGTGAAAATAAGGTATATAAGTTGAAAAAAAACCTTTATGGGTTAAAACAAGCACAATGTCCATAGAATGCTAGAATTGACAAGTATTTTTATGAGAATGGATTTAAAAATGTCTTTATGAACATGCTTTGTATGTGAAGACGGATGCCAATGAAAATGTATTATTTGTGTGCCTTTATGTTGATGATTTGATCTTCACAGAAAACAATTCTAAGACGTTTAAGGAATTCAAAATGAGTATGATTCGAGAGTTTGAAATGACAGATATTGGTTTGATGTCTCACTTTCTTGGCATTGAAGTTGTGCAAAGGAAAGATTGAATTTTCATTTCTCAAAACGGCTATGCAAAGGAGATACTCAAAAGATTTGGGATGGAGTCTTGTAATACGGTAAACACTCCGGTAGAGAGTGGGTTAAAGCTAAAGAAGAGTACCAATGGTGGCAATGTAGATCCAACTTACTTTCAAAGTTTGGTTGGAAGTCTCTGATACCTTACTTGTACTAGACCGGACATACTTTATGGAGTTGGACTGATTAGTAGATACATGGAAGCACCAAATCAATCACATCTCAATGCGGCAAAGAGGATTCTTCATTATATCAAAGGTACACTCAATGATGGTTTACTTTATTCATGGACTAATGATTTTACTCTCATTGGATACTCCGATAGTGATTGGGGAAGAGGCTTTGATGAAAGAAAGAGCACTTTAGGTTTTGTTTTCTTCTTGGGAAATGCTGCATTCATTTGGTCATCTAAAAGCAAGCAATTGTCACTTTGTCTACTTGTGAAGCAGAGTATATAGCGACTAATGCTACTGTTTGTCATGCTATATGGCTAAGCAACCTATTAAAGTACTTGGGATTTCCACAAGAGAGTCCCACATAGATTTTTGTTGATAATAGATCGGCAATAGCCTTGGCAAAGAATCCGGTGTATCATGAAAGAAGTAAGCACATTGACACTCGTTATCATTTTATTCGGGAACATCTGAAGCAAAAGGAAGTGAAGCCAGTTCATTACAAGTCTTATGATCAAATTGCTGACATTTTCACACAGCCTTTGAAGCATGATGTATTCAATAGATTGAAGATGATGTTTGGTATGAAGACTTTTCAAAATTGGGTTTAAGGGGGGATGTTAGATATTGTAAATCCATTTTGGGGTGTTTGCTTACATGTGTATTAGATCTTTTTTGTATAATTATTATATTTTTGTACTTGTAAGTAAAATGTGCTTCTAGAACTTTTCATAGGTGAAAATATGTGGCTGAAAAGTGAACACATCAGTTAGTTTGTTGAATAGAAAAAACAGAGACAAAAACTCTCTGCAAAAGATGAGAAAAAACGTGAGAAAAAATGGGTTTTTTTGTGTGTGTGCGTGTGTGTGTTGCTATGTACAAGGTGGAGGAGAAAGCTTTGTACAACTGATTTTTAGTGAAAAAAATATAAATTTTTGATGCCCAGATAAGTGTTTACTGATGTTTTTATTTTTTGATTATTTGTCCTGAAAGTTGTTTATTTGAAATTGAAAATCTATATAGAAAAATTCAAATTGTTGATAGCTATGTTTGAGCTCTATTTTCGTTCATTCGTGGCTTCTTCTTCTTTTTTTTTTAATGATATTGTGCATGTGATTAATTCCCAAATTTCCCCAACAATAACCGCCTCTTCGTTTCCATCCTCACATTCAGAAACATGGACATGTACTCCTCGTTGGATCTAAAACTCGAAGATCTCTTCACTAGATCGCCTTCAACGGTCTCGATTCGAACTAGCAAATTCGTCATCACCGATCTTCGACCGGCTTGTCGATGCCGTAGATGTCAAGATCGGATTGATGATCTTGATGTAAACCACAACATCGATGGTGATCTGAAGATCTGAAGAACATCAACTGGCGCATCGGCCGACTAAAGTCTTATTGTGTGTGTGCGTGTGTGTGTTGCTATGTACAAGGTGGAGGAGAAAGCTTTGTACAGCTGATTTTTAGTGAAAAAAATATAAATTTTTGATGCCCAGATAAGTGTTTACTGATGTTTTTATTTTTTGATTATTTGTCCTGAAAGTTGTTTATTTGAAATTGAAAATCTATATAGAAAAATTCAAATTGTTGATAGCTATGTTTGAGCTCTATTTTCGTTCATTCGTGGCTTCTTCTTCTTTTTTTTTTAATGATATTGTGCATGTGATTAATTCCCAAATTTCCCCAACAATAACCGCCTCTTCGTTTCCATCCTCACATTCAGAAACATGGACATGTACTCCTCGTTGGATCTAAAACTCGAAGATCTCTTCACTAGATCACCTTCAACGGTCTCGATTCGAACTAGCAAATTCGTCATCACCGATCTTCAACCGGCTTCTCGATGCCATAGATGTCAAGATCGGATTGATGATCTTGATGTAAACCACACCATCGATGGTGATCTGAAGATCTGAAGAACATCAACTGGTGCATCGGCCGACTCAAGTCGTACGCCGTCGTCTGGGTCAAATTGAAATCCAAATCATCCACTTGAGTTGCGGTGGAGAACGACAGAGGCGGTGCTGCAACAGAGAAGGCAATGGGTGATGCTGAAATTGGCGGAGGGAAGAGAGAGAGAGAGTGAAATGAGAGAATGAGAAATAAACGCATGAAAGAGACGAGGTGGTGAAGAGGTATTTTGGTCATTTCACAATAGTTTGTCCTTATGTCATGATAAATTGGCACCTGGACCCCTGAGCAAGAAAAATTCGAGGTTGGATTTTTCGTCCGAATCCCCTTTATTTTTTTTATTTTTTTTTGTGGACATGATAAATTGGCATCTGGACCTCTGGGCAAGAAAAATCCGAGATTGGATTTTTCGTCGAAATCCCCTCTATTTTTTTTATTTTTTTTCTTTAAGGATGTTATTGGGTTAATACATTAGATTACATAAAAGCACTCTAGTCTCTCGTCAACTCAAATGGTGAATGTCTAACCTTCTCAAGTCCCAAAACTATATGAACTATTGTTGGCCACCATACATTCTTTAGGGCTTAATCCTAAGGATGTTACGGGTTCAATTTCCCTTAAGAGGGTTGAATGAAGGGAGTGCAAGCGCTTAGGTGCTTTACTATGGGTGGGAAGATTTTCTCTCATAGGTACTAATCTAATAATTAACAACTAGCATTTCCCAATCAAACAAAAAAATAAAAACTATATGAACTATTGAGCCAACTGTACTATTTATCAAACAATATAATTTATTTAATGCCTTTAGTAATTTTTTATAAAGTAAACTATTAATAGATCCTAATAGTTTGACTTAATTCTTATTAAATCATATTGAAAATAAATCATATTAAAATCGTTATTAAAACTTACAATTAGTTACGTTTTTCTGTGATAAAATTTTTAAATTGTTGCTAAAAGTTAAAAATTAATGATTTTTTTGTGACGATTTTTTTAAATTGTTTCTAAAATTTATAATTAGTAATATTTTTTGCTACAAAATTTTCGAACTGTCGCTAAAAATTAATAATTAATGACTTTTTTTTAGTAGTATTTAATAAAAAATACCATTAATTTAGACAATAAACTTATATATTAGAATCTACATATAAGTTCCTTTTTATATTGGCGAAAACCTAGGGAAACAATATCACGTGGCAATTTAATAATTTTCTGTGGAGAGCAACAAATGAACAAGCCAAAACCATATAAAGATACTGGTGTATTTACTAGAAAGAATAACAAATACTAGAGGGTTTTCCTTCCAGGCCTGTTTATTATGTGGAAGCACAGATGAAGAATTACAAACGTTTATTATAAAAGAAGGCTTAAGTTATAAAGTTTCATATATATATATATATATGTAAGTAGACCAAGTGATGTATATAGGGTTTTTCAAATGCTCTCCCCTTTGGAAGAGTGAAACCACAAGAAGAAGAAAGTGCAAAACTGAACTTGTGGAAGAGAAGGGCATAAAGGGTAAGTTTGCAAGGGCCAAAGTGATTGATTTGGTAGATAAGACAATTTTTTTTAAACTCATTTTTCGATTCGAGTTTTATTATTACTATTGTTATAATTGTGCAATACTGTCCTGATGTTTTCCGAACTGATTGTTTAAAAAGAAATAGCTAAGATCTCCATGATTCTTGGGTTTGATTCTGATTCCCCATAGGGCTGTCTATATGGTTAGTAAAACCAGCTATATTGAGAATATCGTCATGGGAGAGAGGTCTTAGACCCAAGAAGTCTCTTGTCATACCATCATTGCCACCGCCACCATGGCCACCATTGCCTCCACCGCTTGCCTTTGAAATAGTGCCATCTTTGTTTGGATTTAGCATACCAACACCACCAGCACCTCCATGGTCACCAAATGAATATTCAAAGGAAGACCCGTCAAAGCCAGTTGCAGTAGAAGAGAGAGAAGTAGTCATCATCATATCTTGAAGGAAGGAAGGAGGGGCACCTGCACCTGCACCTGGGTCTGTAGCTGTACCTGCAGTTGCAGAAGGTGACGCATGGTCCGTGAGAAGAGCAAGAGAGAGTGCAGCTTTATTCCTGAAAGAAGACAAACCCACCTGCCATTTCTTCACGTGAGGACAAATTCAGGCCAAAACCACCACCAGAATTAGCAGACACGTGAGCTTGGTGGTGTTGGTGGTGGTGGGGCCTCATACTCATCATCATGGCATTGGCTTTGCTGCTCATTGTCGCACCCATCTGAGCTGCTTTTTGTAGCAATGCTGTTGCAGACATGTGTGGAGAAGAAGAAGAGGCTGTTTCGTGGTAAGGTTGAAGGGTAGTGGGTCCAAGACTAGGGTTAGGGTTTGAGTTCTCATGGAGTACTGGTAACTGATGATCTTGGTGGTGTGTGAATTCCTGATCTAATATTGTGGGGAATATTGATGATGGTGGTGGTGGACCTGGACCGGCTCCTACAACGGTGGATGGACAGGCTAGCCTTGGTGGAACTGAAATATCTGGCCTTAGACTGAAACTTTGTTGCTCTTTCTTCATTGGAAAATCATGGAGGTCTTGGTAATTGAATTGGGGTTGAATTTGAACTTGAAGATTTATATGTGATGATGATGTTGAAGTGCTAAGTTGAGTGGAGGAGAGAAGTGGATTTACTGTAATTGCTCTTGCACTCTCCTCTGCTAAAGCATCACAGAAGGCTCTGTGTGTTATGAAACTATCCCTCCTGAAAACAAAATGCAAATTATCAGAAAAAGTGCTTCTGAGACAATGCAGATGTAGTTTCCTTTTCTCTCTCCTCTGCTTCCCTCTATCTTTCTTTCAGGGGACTAAATACAATGGTCCATGTCATTAGAATTTTCCAGGCTTGGCGCTCTCTCTCTCTCTCTCGCACATATGGTAGTGGGATTTTCTTATAGAAAATTATAGAATACTTTTGAAATACTATGTGCTCGTATTTCTTAATTAATGGTGATTTATCATCTCTTTTTATATTCTTTTATCATCTAAAATAATATCTTATATACTTATTTTTTCTACCAACTATAATACCCTAAGGTATCACGTGTCTATATGTTAAAACTACTTGATAATCACCTTTTCCGTAGTTTTGATATTGATATTGTAATTATTCAAAACCTTGAATGAATCAATTTACAAAATATGTATTATTTAAAATATTATTGCGAACTACATGTAAGTGAGGGAATGATAAAAAAAATTATCATTACATGGAGATGCAAGTTACACTTACCCCACAACTTTTAATTTGCACCTTATTACAGTCTTTACAGACACACTTACAACCCCATATATTACTCCCCGTCCCAAAATAATGACCTTTTTTTGGAGAATTCAACTTTTTTTGATAGTACAATTATTATACTTAAAAAAATGATTTTTCAAAATTATCCTTTGATAGTATATTTTTTAGAGAATATCAATGTTATAATTGTATTTTTTATATTGTTAATGAATTTAAAAAGAATGATAAAATAAAAAATTTATATTATTTTTATACTTAATTTTTGAAAAATAATTAATATTTAAGATAGTAAAAAATAAAATAAAAAAATAATATTTTAAAACGGAAGGAGTAATAATTTTTTTTCCTTCTCCAACGCGTATAACTTTCTCCAATTTTATTTCTTCCTTTCTTAACACACCCTCCCCTCTGAAATGATATTTGGGTTAGTTACCTTGAGAAAAGGGTTCCACAGTCACATCTGTACTCTCTTGTGCCACAGGTCTTAGAGTGTGCTTTCCAGTCTGATCGAACTGCATACTTCTTCGAGCATTTGTCACATTTCCACTTCTTCTCGCCGTGCTTTCTGCAAAAGTGCTTCTTGATTCCAGTCAGGTCCCCAAGAGCCCTTGATGGATCATGGTGCACACAACTAGCTTCTGGGCACACATAAACCTTCTTCTTCACCTCTTTGCTTGTTCTCTGCTTGAGCTTCCATGGCAAATTATGCCCTCTTCTGTGAAGTTGAAGATTCTGATCTCTCTGAAACCCCTTCTTACAGATCTCACACACAAATCTATTGGTTGCTAAGAGAGACTTAGGTGACAAAGCTATCACTTCTGCTTCTGGGTCTGATATTATGATTCAAAACCCATATGAGAAAAATTACCATATACAAGAAAATTTCTGCAAAAAAATAAAATATAGACTGACAAAGTTGATAAGAATCTAACAAAGACCTGGGTTGCCTGGGAGGTTTCTCTTCTTCTTCACTACTAGAGCTGGTTGAGTTTGATTTTGTGGTGGTGGTGGTGGAGCAAAATACTGTTGAGGTGGATATATTGTGCCAGATTCATCTTTGTTGCCTGAAGAAACACTTGCTTCACCAGAGGCAGAAGTCAAATTAGACATATTGTTCTCATCCACACCTGGGTTTTGTTGTTGGATCATCAACGCTTTCATCTTCTATAATCAGGTTCAGGATGAATGGATCTTAACCTTTTTTTGTGTGGTAAGGATAGAAGAGATCTAATTACTGACAAATTCAAACCTAGATAAAGCTAAACTAGGAGATAAGTGGAGAGAGAAAGACTCAACTCAAGTAGAGTTGCTAAATTTGCTTCCTCAAGGGTACTACTCCAGCACCCTTGAAGCCGAAAATCTCAGTTGTCTCTTGATGGTTTCTTCTTTCTTTGGCACCAACCCAAGAGACAAATCTTTTTTTGTTTTTGAAAACACAGAAGTAAACAAGAGAGAGAGAGAGAGAGAGAGGGAGAGAGAGAGAGAGAGAGTTAACTGAAACAGAAGCAGACACTCCGGCCATTATTCTCCTTCATATTTTGATGGCCTAGCTTGCAAAAACAAGAAAAATCCAATAATAACAATACAAAAATGAACCCAACAAACAAAAACTAAACCAAGTTTATAGAACAGACACAGAGAGAGAGAGAGAGAGAGAGAGAGAGAGAGATATGTGGATGAGAATGGATGAGTCTGTAATCTCAAGCCGTCCAAAACCATACCCCAAGAGACCACAACCCTACGGCCAACTCTGACGTCCTCTTTCTGTCTTTTCCTTTGTTCTCATCCCATCACCCCCACCCCAGAAAAAAAAATCTCTCCTTTCTTTATTGTCTTTGCTTTTTAACAAAGTTTTAATTTTCTACTAAAAACTTTTCTTTAATGCCTACCTTTCCCTTCATACTAAAGTAAGTGAAAAAAAAAAAAAAAAAAAAAAAAAAAAAAAAAGGAAAAAAAAAAAAAAAAAAAAAAAAAGAAAAAAAGAAAAGAAAAGAAAAGAGAGAGATGTCATTTTTTTATATTTTACATCATAACTCCAATACCATTCCCACCTTTTTACATTTACATGGTTGCCATGATTGATTCATTGATGGAACCATAACAAATATAATCATGGCTAAAAGAAGAGTTTTTTTATTTTTTTCTCTTTAAAAAAAAATAGCAACCTCGATTTGATATCTGGTTTTTGTGATTTTCAATTTCAACTTATTTTCAAAACACCTTCACTGAATTTAAGCCTCAAAATGTTAAACGGAAAACATAAAATATTTATTTTATTTACACATAAATTAGTCATAAAATTAAATACAATCATTTATGATGTGAAACTTACAAAAAGTTGAGACCCATCTCATTCATTCAAGGGGATTATATCTCATTTTGTGATGAATAATTGATTTCTGTGTGTCAAGATTTTTCATCTTGATTGTATAATTTTTATAAAATTGTATAATTAGTTTATGTTTGTTGACAGATATTATTAAGATACTATTAAATTTTTGTTTCCCAAAGAATTCGAATTTCTTAAATAGCTTAGAAAGCCCCTTTTTTTTCATTAAAAAAAAAAAGGAAAAATAACTCTGAAAGTTAATTATATATCCTGCTTTCTCTTCTAAATATTTTTTGTTTGAGTATTGTAATTATTGTAGTTAGCTGTGTATTATTATAGATGTATCTTATCTATTTGTATTGTATCTCTCTCTATCTCTATCTCCTTCTATGCTTATTTTTATCTTTTCTGTACCTATCAAGGTTTCCTTTCTGCCTATATATACAGGCTTCTCCTATTGTATTATTCATTCAATTCAATATAGAGTTTCTTTTTTTTCTTCTTTCTCTATTTTCATAACATGGTATCAGAGCCTAGGTTCTCTCCTAGCCTCATTTTTTTTCTGGTTCTATCCCCGATTGGTTTCTGCTGGCTTCTACGTATCTAGTTCCTCTCTGTTTCAACGATTGGACTACACCAAACTCTTCGTCTCTTCAAGAGAAAGCAAACGCCACCAGAATCACCACCATCCGACATCACACGCGCCTTCACACGCCACCCAAAGATCGGCGCGTCGGCTTGCTTCGGTTCTACTCTCGACACGCTCCCACACCCGTCGTCTCAGCCGGCTTCCCTCGATTTCTGCCCATCGGCTTCCCTATCAGCCTCAGCTCGCCCATCGGCTTCCGCCTCAACCGCTCTGTCCTCGGCTTCCGCCTCAGCCGATTTTCCCTCGGCTTCCGCCTGGCTTCTCTCAGCCACATGCCTTGTTTGGTTTAGCGGCTGACATTAGCCCTATTCAGTTGCTGACTTCAGCCTCTCTCAGCCCCTGATTGGCTGCTGACATCATCGCAGCACAGTGCTGACGTCAGCCTTACTTGTTTCTAAGGTTTTTTGAGCTTCTAAATTTGTTGGTGACCTCCGTTTTGGCAATTATGGATCGTATTGACAATATCCAATCTATTCCTATTATACTTGATGGATCTAATTATGTTAGTTGGGCCCAAGTTCTCTCTAGCTTCATTAAAGGGAAACGCCTTTGGCGGATTATTACTGATACTCTTTCCAAACCCAACCAAAAGGAGGATGAGACAGACTCTGCATTCGATGACCGTCTTGACGAATGGGAAAATAAGAATTATCAAATTATCACATGGTTCCGGGCTACCTCAGTTCCTTCCATCAACCTTTAATTTGGACGTTTTCAGGACGATGACTCCATTGCCTCTCCTGCCAAAGCAATTTGGGATTTTTTGAAGGAACGTTATCAGACCACTGGCCATGCTCATCAATATCAATTGTTGCAGACTCTTCATCACATGCGCCAAGCAACCGGTCGTAGACGTCCCCGAACGCCCCCGGGAGGAACGAGTCCCCCCCGTTCCGTTCGATATTGGGCTTACTACAGTTCAGGACTCTAAAATTTGTCACGGTTCTAAGTCTGAATCAAAGAGTCCAAATCCGGCAAATCGTTTTGAGAAAATAGATTTTTGAAAGAAGTGTCAAACATGGACTGCTTTGCCAGATACAGAGTCGCCACCTAAATATTTTATTTTGGGGGAATTTAGGAAACCCTGACTCGTTTGCCTAGGTCCACACGTGTCCATCATCACCAGAAGTTGCCTCGGCTCGGGAACTTGGGTACGATGGGGGAAGGTCACTTCGTGAGCACCCCCGCTCGCCCGATCAAAGATCGTCTCTACTAACCATGATTATCTATTTTTTAAAAAATATTGTGTGTTCTTATTCTGGTTATTAGCCTAATTACTATGTGATGCGCACAGACATAACAAGTATAGACGGATCGTCTGAATTGGAACAAACATTTCATGTTTGTTTGTTGTGAAAATGGTTGATGGTGCTACCCGCAAGTAGGTCTAAGACGTGGATTTGCCACCTCAGGTGGGCTTAGAAACATGATTTTGCCATGTCTAGTGGGCTTAAAATACACATTTGATGAATTGTTCTAATCAAATAACCCAACCTTCACCCACAGGCATTCAGGCAGTTATATCACATAAGCATATAGCCTCGTGGTAAGCATGCTATTCATGCGGCAGTCACTCACACGCATGCAAGGATGCTAAAGCATAAAACTTACCGAGTCTCCAACCAAAACAAAAGCTAATTAAAAATCCATACAATGATCCTAATTATACAGAAATGCCTAATGCAACACATACAAAAATGCAAGCTATAGCAGGCTCGGGCTATTCTAAAACATGGCATATGAAATACTACAACTAAACATGTATTCAACTGGAATGAATAATACAATGTAGTTAGTATGATGCGCCGAGCCCGGGTGCGTGCAAGACGAGATGAATGAATGCAAACATGCTATCATACTGTATGCTAATTGAAACATGCCCTAATCTAACCATCATAAGCTGGTAAATAAAAGGGAGAAAGACGTGGGGTTGGAAGACATACATCACACACACGCACACTTATTACAATTACGCCCTCGCGTAGAGGGTCCGAATAAATAGTACAGTCCAAATAATACAGTCCAAATAATACAGCCCAAATATGTACAAATCCCTAATTAATTTGCAAATTAACTAAGAAAAACAATAAACTGGCATGCAAGCCAGGGACTGTCTTGACTCTCCTTCAGATGATGAATGATGCACATCCGGGTTGCCTTTGCACGGAAATCCATTGTGATGCCCCAATTAGCCTCTGTTTTGCAATAATTTTTTGGAAAGCACGCCAAGCCCCGGAAGACTGCTGATTCTTGATTTTTTGCAACAGAGAGCAGGAAAGGGGCATAGCAATGTATTTTGACAAATGTATGCATGCCTCAATCCTCGTGCCACCAATCACGCATCTTGATGCATGATGGCCGAGGAGTCAAATTTCACGACTCAATATGGAATGCATGCACATGAAGACACAATGAGACCTAAACTCCATCATGGGTAATCCGGAGTGTCGGCAATTGGGAATTGAGACACGTTCCGTCACTTGGAGTACGAAACGTACCTCGTTTCCCGTGCTCGGGCTAGCACCTACCCTAAGCACAATGCGATATGCATGACATGCATGAATGCAATTCTAACATGCAACCTAGCATACACAATGCTATGAAATGACATACACAATGCACGAGATAACATGGCATACACAATGCGCCAACATACAACTTAGCATACGCAATATTATGAAATGAAATGGCATACACAATGCACAATGGACTTACACTAACAAGAATGGACCTCAGCCACACTCACATAGGAGGCCATAAGATGAAAATGAGACACTGGAGATGCGTGCACACGTGCACGCAAACCGAGGACCGACCCTAAGGCATGAAATGCCACTCTAACAAGACATGGAAAAACATAAAATATGATATGCAAACATGCAAATTTCAGCGCTAAAATATGACCCAAAACAGTCCCGAATCATAGAAACATGGCACGCAATGCATGAAATGGGACCCGAAATGCAAAACTAGGCATGCGCAATGGCCTATAGCTATACAAAACATGCACTATTTGATCATGAAATGTGAAGACAGATTCAAGGAAACCCAAAAACAAGCATGTTTACAGTTTTAAGGAAGGCCAAAAAATGAACACAAATAGGGCTAAACCAATATGCAAAAATGGCCCTAAATGTGAGATAAATAAGCAAGTCACAGCTTCTGACCCCAAACAAGAGAGGGCCCTTCAACAAAGTTGAAGAGGGGCCCAAAACATGATATTTTCCAGTTGGTGGCCTGACCCAAAACAGTGTACAAGAATGCTCAAAATGCTATGCAAAATAAGGCCAAAAAGAGAGTTACAACACAAAGTATAGAAAGGATGCCTCAAACAGTGAAATACCCTTAATGAAAAATGAAGAGGGGGTCAAAATAAGGTCATTTTTAGTTCGGACCAGAATCCGAAAACAGAAGCATAAGAGGCTAACAAATCATGCAAAAATGGAGCCAAAAGAGAGATATAAAGGCAAGTGGTAAATGGAAGCCTCAAACAGTGATGATCCCTTCAATAATGTGGAAGAAGGGCTCAAAATAAGCAACTTTACAGTTTATGACATACCTCAAAACAATTTATACATAGGCCAAAAATACTACACAAGAAAATTGGATACAAGGGAGCTAATGAAGCAAGTGCAAGAAGGAGGCCTCAAACAGTGAGAGGCCCTTAAACAAACATGA